AGGGGCCGGGCCGGAGGCTCCGGGCGAGCGAGGCCGGGGTCCCAGGATCCCGCGAAGTAGCACTTGGGAGGAATACCCGCGGGTCGGAATAAGTGACCCGGGTCGGAGACCCAGGCACCGGAACATGTCTCCTCGCCTCCCGGGGTAACATCTCTAGACAGAGACCCAAAATGAATACCTAGCGGCGTGCATTGATACGGTTTGTTTTGTGCAGTTAACTCCGTGAATGATTTTTATTCTGTATTTGATGCCTGTTCTCGCCCGCATCAGCAGTGCTCATAGTTCCGCTTTGCCATCGGCAGAGCCAGAAACACCACCTCGAACTAAAGTAGAACGCGTATCGCCTGCATTAGGTGCCCGTAGGACACGAACTGCGGTATGTGGAGCTCAGTAAAGCGGCCACGTCGCGCCAAGCGTTTTTGGTCCCATCAGGAAGCTACCTCTGCGAATGCGTAATTGCAGGTGTGCGTTCTTCATCCACCCAAACAGATTCCCGTGTGTAGCACCGTTTTTACGTTTTCATGAAAAGCAGATGCGAGCAAATGATCAGAAACATGAACGGGTGACAGAGACGCGGCGCGGGTGCGAGAGAGGAAGTGAAAGGGCCGGCGGCAGAGCTGCGCAGCTTACCTTGAACGCGTGTGCGAGCCCCTCAGGCGCAGTGGAGTCCGAGCCCGGTTGCCGCACCGCCGCGGAGTGGCCCGAGTGAGCTCCCTGCGAGTGGGGAAGGGGGACGCATCCCTGCCCTTATTAGTCTCTCCCGGTGTGACCCTCCCACTCGGCGAGGACGGAGGACTCGGCAAGACAGGACTCCGCCAACTCGTGCCCAGGTCTCCCTTAATTGTAACAAGGTCGCCTTAGAGCTGGAAATCATGCATTTCAGGTTCATGTTTTATTAGCAGTTTCAACAGATAGAATGATGGTCGGATGCCAGGTGCTCAATTTCTCACTTCTGATTACGAAATGTCTTCAAAGTCTTCTATTTGGTATACATTCACAGGTAGATAATTGGCTTTTTAACAGTTGAGCTAAAAAAGGATAGCATTGATGTTTCATTTTTCACTTTTTTTTTGGGGGGGGGGGTTCAGTTTACATAAAGTTAATCAAAAGAGCCTGCCTGCCTGCCTTCCAATCATGCTCTTATGTACAGGTTTGTGTGACTTGGTTTGTCTCAGGGTGCAAAACTATTTTGTGATTTTAAATATCGTATCTTTCCTGGGTTTTGAACCCTTTGGGATCGCTTTGAATATGTGAAGGTGACATTTGTCTACAGATTTGTGTGTGTAGAGTATACATAGATATACACACATACATATGTAGAGATAGATATACGCATTTAGTAAATATATGTGTATATTTGTAGATATATGCGTACATGTGTGTATGTACATAGAGTATGTGTGTATATGTATGTAAATGTGTGTATATATACACATACAATATATATTTGAAAAAAATAGAACCAGTATCGAATTTCAAAAAGTAATCTAGTCATTAGAAAAGAGATATATTGATTTAGTGTTTTTTAGTTCAGTATTACCCCAGTTGGGGAAAGTAGGATAAATTTTATTGATCCATAATGGTGAAAATCATTAAGCTTACAAGTTACCTTAAAGCATAGAAATACGCTTCACCTGCCAGGAAATAACTGAAATCAATCTCACAAAAAATTAAAATGTTAAAAATTTTAGGAGGTAGCTAGCTTCCACTTCATTGAAGTGAAACTGTCTAAGAGTCAACTAGTGGTTTTCAATCCTGTCTTTCATCATAATCAAAATGCCTGCAGTTTTAGAGCTTTACATCCACAGTGATGCAAACCATGTTTATATGTCAGGAATTAAAACCCACTGATGTATTTCCTTCTTGTGTGATTTTCATCATTAATTTTTGGTTGTCTATGGAAAGAGGCCAAGGAGGGAGGATATCACATGAGTCACGCTGCTCAAATGGCCATTTGAAAACATGATCCACAAACTTTCATCAGACTTTTGGTGATCATTTGCTAAGTTTTTAAAAAGGATTACCGCTGTTTGGATTTTTATTTTCTCTAAGCAATTGAACTTTACCTTTTAATTGTTAGTAAATTGAAATAAGAGTACCCAGGCTTTATTTCTATAATAGACTAGAAAATTCATCGTAATTGCATTTAATTGATACTATTTAAGGCAAACTATCTAACAGGAAGTCCAAAATTGTGTCTCTAATTTGTGTTTTAGTACAAGTAAACCACCTTTAAATGTAAAGCATTATTTTGAAAACATCTTAATAATTTCATAATTATTTTTAAAATAGCCAAACACTTACATTTTTGTTTGTATCTTAAGTTTGTTCCTTTTCTACTCAAAATGTTTCAAGTTTTGGGAAGAAAGTGAGAATTGAATAATTAAGGTTTGAAATAATTATTATCTGTTGTTCGCTTTGTTCCTAGATATACCAACATCCCCAAATCAGTAAATATTCCTGTGTTTTTCTTTTAGGAACAGGTTCCAATCTGGATCGGTTTCATGATCACAAACTTTTGTATCCTTGGTTATGGTCCTTTATTCAATTTTTTAAAATTGAATTTTCAAGTGACTTCATGTCTAATCAAGATCCTCTTATTTATCTAACCCAAATAAAATTGTAAATGACCAGTCTTTCCACTTGCTTCTGAAGCTATTGCTGGTGAACAATCATCTGAAAACAACAGGAGAATTTGACAGGACTTTGAATTCCGGTGAACAGCTTGAGGGGCTTGTAACACATGTATATACGTAAAAAAAAAATTTTAATTTCAAAAACAAACTGCTTTCAACATGTGTAACCCATGAAAGACACGTTCAACTATTTTTATGCCAGTAAAATAAATTAGAGATAAATTCCATTTAATGCATTAAAAAAACTGTTCCATATTTGTCATGCCCACTTACATAATTTAAATGACTTAAAGTTAACTTGTACTGGATTTTGATAATTGCCTGATAAGAAATTTAAAGAATGTGTTTTTTCTAAGCCTCACTTCTCAATCTCTTGTTTGATAGCTATTTTTCCCTTTTCTTCTTCTTTGTGTGTGTGTGTGTGTGTGTACTTCTGTATTCCCCAGCCATGTAGTTTTTTTCCCCTTTTGTAATTTATTTCACTTTTCTCCTCCTTCATAGTTTCCATCTTCCAAGAAGAATGTCAGCATTGCCCCCAGCTAATTTCTTAGTTACCAAACCATAAAAGTGTTCATTCTTTATTGAATTTATGGGGCACAGCCATACATGACTTCCATACATAGCCCATGAAAATACTTCACTGCATTAATAGCAGATGAACAGACGTTACTGTTCACTGTAATTACCAAATCTGACTTGTCATCACTAGCATGCACTTCGCAGTCTATTCTTTCTAGGCCAGTACTATATATGATAGTCTTAAGAGCAAAAAGAAAATTATCATCTAAGTGGTAACTTTTTAGGCATCATCAAAAGTAAGGTAAGGCATTTTTAAAATTTAAATGCTATTTCTACTATTGTTTCTGAAAATAATCCCCTTCATAGAGAAAATAATATTTCACTGGTTGTTATGTTTGCTTCCAGATTCCTGGAAGACATTCTAGCTCATGACATTGACTCAGCTTAGACGGGAGAGGAAGAGATGATCATAGATATGACTTTCACTCAGTTTATTAGACCCTCATCTAGAGATCGGGGGTGACTCTGAAAGGAGATATGGTAAAAGGCAAACGCCTGATTGGGGAAAATGTTTATTAATACACATCCAGTTCTCAGAACTCATTTTTAAAAGGGAGGAAGAGAAATAACCCAATAGAAAAATAAGCAAAAATTTGAAGAGGTAATTCACAAAGGAATACAATAAACACATGAAAAAATATTCAATTTAATTAGTATCAAAGAAAAGCACATGTATAAAGGAATGATTTTTCTCCTACCCATTTTTCCAGATTAATATTAGTGATTGGCATAAATGAGGAACAGTCTCAATAACTCTAAAAGGAGTTTCAGTCTTTCTAATGAGCCATGTGTATGAAAAGCTTTTAAAAATGCATGTAAAATCTGCTTCATAAACTCTTAAAACAGTAACTTATTTCTGAGTTAGGATTGTGAGAGATTTTTATTTCTTCCTTTTGCTTATCTGTGCTATATGAAATTTCTACAATAAACATGTATTACCGTTGTAATAAAAATCTAACAAACATGAATAAGTGTGGGGTTTTATATATATCTCCAACAAATTCTTCTATCAGTGGTGTTAAGAGGAGCCAAGAAATTCACTTTCCAGGTACTCTTTTCAATCATTCCCAGAAGGAATCTTCTAGGTAAAAATTAGTATGTAACAAAACATTTAAACTTAGCTTAGTGATTTCACTAGGAAGCAGATATTAATTAAACTGTTCACTCATTCTCCACATATTTTTTAAAGCCTCGTAAACAGAGCCCTGTGGAGTATAGAAAGATGGGTTGAACATGGGCCCCACCCCCTGGACTTAACATTTGATAAGAAAGAGAAGACATGTGTGCATATAGAATGGTAATATGAAATGAAAATACAATATGCAATAGACAAAGTAGATATAAAATATTGGAAGTTCAAAGGAGAGGGAAATTGTTCATATGTGGAAGTGTCAGGGTCAGAAAATTACAGTGAATGAAATACACTCATTTTTTTTTGTCAGTCACATACATATACTTACAAATCATCATAGAACCATAGTACTGGAAGGCCCATGGTAACTAAATATTTGTGAAGTGATGAGCTTACTTTTTCTATTATAAATATTTATTGAAAGAATTAACAGAGAACAAGCCCACTTCCTCCTTATTCAGATGAGGAACATGAAATTTCTTATTTCCTACTGAACTAAATCCTTTCCCTGTAATTCAAGGCCCTAAACAGTGTAACCTCAATTTACTCTCTTCAGTTGTGCACATAATTACTTGTAACCATATAATAAACATGTCCCATGCTTTCTTCATGTTCTCATTCACATTGCTGTCTTCTTTTGAACCCCAAAGTGGCTATTAAAATCCTGCCAGTCGTTCAGGCTTATTTTAGGCGTTATCTATAACAGGATTCCTTTCCTGGCCTCCTCCCACCAAACAACCCCTCCCCTGCCTCTTAGGAGCAGAGCACAATTTACACTTTTTTAAGAACAATTTACTTCACCTTGTTTCACACACACACCTCTGTATTAGTCTCTCTGATTTGATTGTAAACTCCTTGAGGACTAGAATTGTGTCTTCTCTCTTTTAATAATACCCAAAGCACCCAATACAATAAATTAACTAATCTTTAAATATTTGTTGATATGAGGCCTGTGAAGATTATGTAACTGAAGACATATAATTTTCTAATGACAAAGTATAGACTACATCTCAGAGTTTGTATGGAAAAATGGTATGTTCTTTGGGGATTATATTTAAGGGAATTATAATACTGCTAAAATAATCACAGGATAACTTGTTCTCCCCTGTAAAAGACTCCCAGAACAGACACCCTGGGGACAGCAACATGTCAAGACAGGACTGTAATTAGTTGGAAATGTCCTCATCATAGGTACTCTTCACTCCGTTTCCAAACTTAAGGTAAATTTTCATTATTGAAAATTAGAACACAACTCTGTTTAATCTATTATTAGAATGACCTAGTTAAACTTTGTTCTAATTCCTAAATGTTTTTAAATAACCAATCCAATATAAAAAAAATCTTAAATATAAAAGTAATTCACCATTGGTACATTATAAATGGTTGGCTAGTACATTATGTCTACAAAATTGTAATTATTTTTCACTCTAACCTCTTTCAGGAACATTTATTTTCAGCTTAGAACTTATTTAGCTTATGTTATGAGATTCTCATGGAATCATTTACAAATCAGCATGTGCTAGGTACAGTGTTTTGCATATTTTATCTTTTTAAAAGCCTTCAACAATTCTATTGCCCTATTTTTACAGTTTAGGATTAAGGCTCTGAGCCAAACCCTCAGAGAGCCAGGATTTTTCTCCAAAGTCCATCTCATTGCATAGTCCAGGTTCTTATTCACTATGCTCTGGAACCTTGTCTACAATCACTTTTTCAACAAATATTTTTAAGCACATGTTTGCAACCCTACATCACCCAGTAGACCATGTGAATAGATGCTCAAGGCAAAAGAGACACTTCAAAGACACCTGGTCACAAACATAATAATTACCCTTACAAGATAAAAATAGGTGAAAGAGAAAAATATGAACTAAACCTGTCTCTGTTTCAGACAGGTATCAATTTTAATTCAGAGAAAATCATGAACTAAATTAGTTGAACAAAAAAGTATTTTATTGCCTTGCCGGCAATACTCAGTGATTGAGCATCAACCTATGAACCAGGAGGTCACAGTTCAATTCTGGGTCAGAGCACATGCCCGGTTGCTAGCTTGATCCCCAGTAGGGGGTGTGCAGGAGGCAGCTGATCAATGATTCTCTCTCATCATTGATGTTTCTATATCTCTCTCCCTCTTTCTTCCTTTCTGAAATTATATATATATATATATGTATGTATTGTTTATTCAGGTGCTATGCTGCAACATGCTTTAATCTGTGCTGACCTAAAAGAAAAAAAATCTAAGATAGCAAACTAAGTAAAGTGCTTTGACTATTCAACTAAGGCAAGGTAAGATAAATTTGGCCAGACTCTGTTCTCTATCAGAGGTGACAGATTTACCTATTTTCTGATAATCAAGGACATTCTTGCTGTCAAATTATTTTACCATAAACCCATTTTTACCTATCTTAAATGTAAACTTCTATGTTTATAAAACCCCTTTTAAGTCATTATGAGAAGTCATAAAACATAGCTAGTGAAGGAAATAATGATAGCTCATAAATCTATACTTATTTTTAAGCACTTCAGGAGTTAACCAAAAACTACAGAATATTTTTTCCTTTTCCTATGTAGAGCAGTTCTTTATTTTTAATAAGAACCTCACAGCTTTTAGTGTTTGGACAGGCACGTTAAAATCCACTACCTTTTATCTAAAGACCTGCTTGCACTGGCTGCCAGACTGATACTCTCATGCTAATCCTGTCCCCAGCCGTGGACACTGCTCAGCTGGTTCTGCTGTGGTGCCATCACTCAGATTTGGCTCCAGCCCTGGGACGCTGGCTACGTCAGGGGCTGGGTGCCATCTGAAGTAGAGCAAAGATCGGTTTTCTCCATCAAGGTCAGTCTAATGTTGGTGGTTTCTTTTTAAAATGGCAATCTCATAGTAGGTGACATAGATGGTTTTCTTAGGCGGTCTTCAGTTTATTTTCTTTTTTTTGTTTTTGTTAATCCTCATCAAAGGATATTTTTTCCATTGATTCTTAAAGAGAGTGGAAGGAAGGGAGGGGGAAAGAGAGAGAGACAAACACACACACACACACACACACACACACACACACCACACACACACACACACACATCAATTGGATCAATTGGTTGGTTGCCTCCTGCATGTGCCCTGTCCAACGCCTGGGATGAACCTTCAACCCAGGTACATGCTCTTGACCAGGAATCAGGACCTTTCAGTGTGTAGGCTGACACTCTAACCACTGAGCACAATAGCCAGGGCAGTGTTCAGTTGTTCAGTTTCTTTACTGCATTTATCATTAGCTATTGCTGCATAATATCCTTTCCCAAAACTCAGTAGCTAAAAACAATAACCATTTATTATTGCTTATGAGTCTACTGATATAGGCTGGGTCAGCTGGGTTTTCTCATGTGTTCACATCAGGAGGATAGGCTGGTAATATGGTGGCTCAGTTGAAACAAGTCATCTCTCCTCCACATGATAACTCATCCTCCAACAGGCTAGCCTGAACCAAGATATCACAGGGATTGAAGACAGAGTGCAAGCATGCAAAGGCCTCTTGAGTTTAGGCTCAGAATGGGT